TACCTACTATTTTTTTTTTTGTAAGGTAAGGCAAAATAATTTAAACAATACTCTCGTCCATCAATTACTGAAATGTTATTTTTTTTACACACTGGTCTTCTCTTTCCTTTTTTTTCAAATACAATTTATTTCCGTACTCACGGTTTTATCCTCGTCGCCAATGTAGCATTCGTTGTGCTATATTTGGCTCGTTCACGTACCGACACGTGTTGCCGGCTCAAAGGTCTGACATCGACTGACTTCCCCTCTCTCCGGCATGTACTTATGGCGTGTACGCTCGAGACAAACAACACTACGTTTATGCATACACTACAATACGTATTTATAGTTTATGCAAAACAAGAGATTTTATCGTAATGTAACATAATATTAAATTACATGTAATGTTAATATGAAAAAAAATTTTTTTACGTATTTAAACTTTAGGATTTAACAATTTCGTATACTTCACTATATGCGTATTCAAAATCGGTATAATATTTTAGATAATAAATTAAAAACTCTTTCCCTAACTGAAATTCATTAAATAAAGCAATTGATAGCATATTGCATATTAAAACAAATTGCACTTGATTATTTGTATTTTACTTAATTTGTTGCCGTCTAACGAACCTCTGATAAAACTTAAGAGCAGGATCCTCGCGACACAGGCTGCGCCTAGTGCGAGGATACTGGTAAATACTTGTAATACCCACCTTTTTTGTATCCATTAAATTTCTTAGCTTAACCTTTTAATGTAAACTTATGTTCTTGGATTTTAATAAATTATTTTTTCATTTTCATATTACTCTTCTTTTTTCATATTTACAATCCACAACTAAATTTCACAGTTATACAAAAAAATTGTCTATGTATGAATATAGTCTGCCAACATTACGTTATAGTAATATGAACAAACTAGATGTCGCCCGCGACTCCGTCCGCGCTGAATTAAAAAATCTTAACGATTAGCTTATGTGTTCGTTTTTAATACCTTTAAACAGACATCTATTCATCCATCCATCTAAATATTCGCATTTATAATATTATGATAAAACTATCTTCAACAGATAGTAAGTCAAGAGGAACAACTGAAGGCGATGCACGAACAGGAAGCGGCTATACAAAAAGCAGCAAAAGAGTCTGAGGAACGCAAGCAGCTGCTGAAGGAGAAGTTGCTGCCGCAGCCGGGCGCGCAGGTAGCCGCTGGTGCTGCGGACCTGGAGCTCGAGGGACCGGATCAGACAGCTCATACTTTGTCCAGAGCAGAGAGTGAGTTTTTTCTGTCTAAAAACAATGCATTGCATTTTATAACAGTTTTAGCCCAACTGACTAGCAATGGGTTAGGAGATGTCCCTTGAAAAATTGATTAGATTAGTGCTATGCTAGAGAAATACGATAAAAAGAATATTAGTGAAGTTAGGATGTAAAAGAAATGAAGTGAAGCCTCTCCACGCCTTCGCCAATTGGAGATCCGTATTCTATCTTCTAAACTTTAATGGTCTGTAGTTCTGAAAGCGGACAACATGCTGGGGCCGCGTCTCTGCAACCGCATCATCCTAGCATCTAAATGTCACGCTATCCGCGATGCCCAGATCACTGAGAAGGATCTCATTAAGAAGGAGCTTACAGAAGAGGAGAGAAGGTTAGCAATCTAATTTAAGTAGATAAGTACGAAATGTTCCAAAAGAAGGAACAGAAGTTAGCCTATGTTACTATAAATTAATTACGCACCATTTCAGTCATTTTTTTTCTAGATTTCATGCCTGTGATTGTGAATTTCAAACGACACTTTTCTTTTTGCTATCTCTTTTTCTTCAAGGAATATGAAAGAGACGTAATACATGTGTTACGATCATTCATTTAACAATATTGTCAGACTTGACGCGATAATGGAGGAGAACCGTAAGGCGGCGGTGAGACGCGCGGAGCAGGACGAGGAGCGCCGCCATCAGCTGCGTCTGCAGAACCTCGCCGCACTTAAAGAACAGATACAAGCGCATGATACTGCCAAGGTATACCACACAAATTAATCAAATCAATCTTTTACACTACACTCTTTTAGACATTATTTGAATGGCGCGCTTTCAGTAAAACGTCAAGTGTCAAACTCTCTTAGTGACGGGACATAAGCGTTATATTTTAATAAGACTAGTGATGTGCCAGTACATCGGCACATTATCGGATTTTCTTCCAAACAATTCTGAAAAAATATGAACCGAACGACGCATTAAAATTCAAAATAAATCAAGCCATTTAGGCAAAAATAAATAAAATGTAAAGAATCTTTCTATAGCTTAAAATATTTTATCCTTGTTCCTGTAAAATCTTAACGCCCTAGATAATGGAAGCGGAGCGTATAGAAGAAGAGAGTATCAGAGTGAACCAGGCAAACATCGCGATGAGAATTGACGAGGCGCAGAAGCTCAAGGAGAAACAGATGCGCCAGGCCAAGCTCAAAGAGATACTTGATCAGGGTGAGATGTCTCTTGGATATATAATTTAACTTCTATAACAGTATTTTTACAGTAAAGGTTTTAAGTTACGAGCTTACCAACATACATTCTTCTAGTACATTAGTAACTTGACCTACAGGTAACGCGGAATTGCTGTACTTCAAGCAACTTCAGAATGAAGAAGAACGTATTCTCAACCTGCGTATTGCAAACTTTCTCAAGAGTAGACAGGAGAGGGAGTCGCGCGCCCGCGCTGAGGCTGAAGCAGTCAAAGCAGCTAAGCAGAAAGGAATTGATCATATCGCCAAGGCACAAAAGGTAATCCTGATTGTTCCATTTTATAAAACCAATTCATGGTCTCTCATAAATTATGCTTTCAGAATAATAATCAACTTTGCATGTTCAATTTTACAGTCACACATTTTCTTTATATCGTGTTATTTAATTCTATCGTTTTGATATTCGACTTGGCACAGGACAGGAAAGGGTTCGCTGAGCTGACGGCCAACCTCTAGTAATGGAGAGGCATTGGAAGAAGAAGATATTCGACTTAGTTCTCATTTGTTATTTAAAACTCAACAGATCTTTCCCTTTATATTATTCAGAGCTTCTTTTCTCCAAAGAAATTCATTGGAGAAAAGAAGCTCTGAATAATTGTCTTCTAAATTTGACTTTGTTCTCAGGCGGAACAAGAGCTGAAGGAGGAATTAGAAAGGATCAGGAACTTAAAGATCCAGGAGGACGTGGAGCGAGAGTACCGTCGTAAGGAGCGCGACGCTGCCATCAAGAGGAACCGTGACATGAAGCAGTTGCACGAAGCCAGGGTCCAGCAGGTCGGTACCAACATGTTGAAATAAACTACTATTATGGTCGACATTTTTGTACTCTTACTGGTTGAATTCTCACCCAAATTATAATTAAGAATGGCTACAAGTCAATACTTCTACAAAGCTATATTAAATGTATAAAAGCTCTTGCTAAGTAGCGTCAATAAATATTTCTCTTTCTAGATCCACGACATCCATCGTCTGATAGCGCGTGAGATCGCTAAAGACGAGCAAAGCTTCAACAACGCGGCCAGACAGAATGAAGAGTTCTTACGCAAGGAGAAAATGGTAAGACCTTTTTATTGATACTAATAGCTGTCGCACGCGACTCCGTCCGTGCGTAATAGAAAAAACATAATTATTAGCTTATGTGTTCTTCCAGACTATGTTCTTCAACTACGCTAAATTTCAGCGAGATCCATTTAGGATTTTTATGGGAAAAAGAAAAGGACTGTTTATAGGGTTTTTCCATCAATTAGAATTTTTCTCACCTTTTAAACCTTCCCTAGACCTCCACGAACATTTCAAGACCAAGATAAGATAAATCCGTTTAGTCGTTCTCGAGTTTTAGCGAGACTAACGAACAGCATTTGACTTTTATATATATTAATATTATAAAGGTTAAACTTGATGTATGCTCGAAGAAGGCAGATGATGGAACAGCATAAAAAATAAATTGGTAATTTTTAATAATTTGTTATTTTCAGTTGGAAGAGCAACACAAGGCGCGCGTAGAGCGACATCGTCAAGAAATTATGAAGCAAATCAATGATAAAGAACGCGCTAGGTAAAGTTTTTAACGAATTTAATGTGGTCGTTATCGATAAATTTCTTAACTACAACACTTAAAAAGTTTTAAATAAAATAAAATTGTATTTCCTTTCCATAGAGCTGAGTTGAGAGAGAAGATCCGTAACGAGGGTGTCGCGCTGCGCATGGAGCAAGAACAACAGGAGAAGTACGAAAGAAAAGTTATCAAGCAGAAGGTAATTGTTGCCAGTTTCAAAAATTTCCTACCAATTTCTACCAACCATTTTGACAGATGTCAGTGTAACGGAATTGGGGATTTAAAAATAGAATAGGTAGCCGAATCGGAAAAAGTTAAAATGTTTATTTCAGACTGTGATAAAAAGCAAGCCTTAAAAAGTTATGTAAATAGTTACGATTTATTGTCCAAGAAAAAAAATGTGTTAATTTCATTTATATTGAAATCCCACTTTAATGTCTGACATTTATAGTTTATCAATTTTTGTATTAAAAGCGCATATTATATCTCAGGTGGCTGCTATGAGACAGCAAAAGGTGGCTGAGAAATACGTCAAAGAAGTGGAACAAACTCTCGGCAAACATGGATATTAACACTAACCATAGACTCACCATTATAATAGAAACATGCTTATAAATTGATAAATTTCTCAATTTTTTTTTATTATTGAATTGTAAAACCATAGAATAAAACACAAAATTAATTATCGTATTATTTATTTACATTACTTATTTCAATTCAGTACATAAAGAGTAAATTTATACTAAATAAAGTCAGCCATAACAATAATAATTGATATAAAACACACACAATGTCACTAATAAAAACACAAGCAACAGACAGAACGGACATACATATTAATGTATAATTATGGAAATTTATTACTACATAACTCCAGAGCAGAATAAGTCTGGATAAAATTTAGATCAAACATAGTCTAGAATAATACATTTTTAAAACACATGTAAAAAATTACTATTATTAAGGCACTATGATTAAACCAACACTATTTCGGTCATTTTTCAATGGTCTTCTCTCCGAGTTCCACCATCTTCACCAGGTTGTCTTTGAGGGTCTTTAGCTGGCTGAGAACTTGAGAATCCATGAGAGAGAATGGTATAAAGGCTTGCGACTGGCGAAGCTGACGCGGCTGCAGCGACAGCATCGTGCCATCGTTCAACATTATATTGCAACTTGCTTTCTCATTTTGTTGCATACTGTAAATATAAAATACATGTATTACTATACTTTATTTCCCAGTATATTAAATCTCCAAGAGCGTCGGTGGCTCAGGGGTCGAACACTTGACTTGCAATCTGCAGGTCCTGGGTTCGAATCCCGCCATGTACCAATGTGTTTTTCGATTTCCGATTTACATATGTACATTTATCCGACATTCTTACGGTGAAGGAAAACATCGTGATGCAACCTGCACATATCTGAGAAGAAACTCAAAGATATGTGTGTAGTCAATCTGTACTGGGCCAGCGTGGTTGACTGCGGCCTAATCACCCTTAACTTAGGGTAAGCTCCGAGCCCCTCGGTGGGGACGTATAGGGAGCTGATGATGATGATTAAATCCCCAAGGTCTTAAGTATGGGATCCATCTGAGATAATGAAAATCTGGAAATCTTTGAGTAAAAACCTATTTAACAAAGTGTTTGTGAGTTACTTACGCATATACGGAGGGCACCAATACGGGGGAACCTGACATGGAGACTACCATCTCTCCCTGACGCGGCTGACGCAGCACCGTCAGCGGCGTGTGTGGAGCCACCTGCACACAAGAAATATAAATAACTATATTTTTACAATAACATTTGTGTTCAGCAAACATTTAACAGTGGTAGAACCCGCTTTAACATCTTCACACAAATTGTCCCGGATCGCCCGGTGTAATACCACGACCACACAGTAGACACGCCTCAAGTGGAAGCTATTAGGCGTACAATCTGATGAGTGTGCGTCCCGGAGGCCTAATCTAATCCACTTTCCCTTTCCACCCTGTGTTTTAAAAGGAAAGGATGGTAAGTGGAAGTGGTCTTTCCGGATGAGAGGATGCGTGGGAAGGGAAAATATTTTCACTTCGCTATATCAGCGATTTCTAGTGGCCGCTCGCTCGTTTGCCACCTTATGATATATATAAAATATATAAACATACTAGCAATTTCAACTGAGATTGTATATTTATAAATTATTAAATTAATTAATCAAATTTTTCAACACTAAAACTGGCTATAAGACATATTTTTTGCCTATTTCATTTTCGTCATTTTCGCGCTTATGCGTAATTTTCATTGTGTGTAGCGTGTTGTGCTAATCTCACTTAAGACTAATATGTAAAATTTGACAGTGTTATGTATTGCCATATGTAAACTTTAAATTCCTACTGCCAAAGCAGATATTATGGTTACAATTGTACAAGCTCACCTTAGGTGTAATAGCAGGATAGTTCATTGGATTTTTATTATACATAGGCGTCCTGTACACGGACTGGGAACGATTATGCGTCTTGCTGACTGTAAGCATGCGACTCGCGTCCGCTGACCTGGAGCGTCGTGTCGTCTTACGGCCTATTGTACTTGGCGGACCTGTGGATATAACAATATTTAAAAAAATATATATTTTATTATTTACACTTAAGTAAACTGATTGCCTTTACTCCTTACATCTATACAACTTGTTTTCATCATCAACTGACTATACGTCCCCAACGAGGGGCTCGGAGCCTACCCTAAGTTAGGGGTGATTAGGCCATAGTCAACCACGCTGGCCAAGTGCGGGTTGACTTCACACATATCTTTGAATTTCTTCTCAGATATGTGCAGCATCACGGTGTTTTTAATCACCGTAAGAACGTCGGATAAATGTACATATGTAAATCGAAAAACGCATTGGTACATGGCGGGATTCGAACCTAGGACCTGCAGATTGCAAGTCAAGTGCTTTAACCCCTGAGCCACCGACGCTCTCTACAACTTGTTTGTTTGAACTTTATTTAGAGATCGTATATTAATCATGTGTAAATGGAAGGGTTCCGATAAGAAATCGGTTCCGTACTATATCAACAACAGAAATATAGAAATACAAACTACTGTAATCACCCGCAACTCTGTCTGCGCGGGATTTAAAAATAATTAGTAGCAGATTCACAGCTATGAATATGCATATAAAAATTAATAAAAATCTGTCAAGCCGTTTCAGAGGAATATGGTAATTAAAATTGTGACACGAGAATCTTTCTAATATTATAAATGCGAATCGATTGATAGATAGATGGATGGATGTTGGTTTGAAGGTATCTCATATAGAATGTAATCGTGAGAGAACACACAGGCTACTTAATTTATATTTTAATTCTGCGCAGACGGAGTCGCGGGCGAGAGCTAATTTTTATATAAGATATAGATGATAATGACATGTCAACAACAAATGGTTGAGTTTCCACTGCCAAATAATAAACAAAAACAAGTCTGTTTCAAATAGAGATATCAAACTTGTGTCTGTACATGATTGAACAGTGGAAACGCACAAGTAGATAGAAATTCCAAGCATAGAAAGCAACTTACCCAATGGCTTCTTGTTTTTCCTTTCTCCGGAATCATGGGCAGAGTTTTCAGTGAGATAGCCTGCCCCAAAAAGCCCAGTTAGTTGAAAGTTGTGATATGATGTTAGTCGTGATAGTGCATCATTAAATGATAAATTAATGATCAACATGTTTCTGAGACCAAAATCTCTGTATAAAACATATCGTTATCCCTGTCATTATCTTTGACAAATAAGAGATATGTTTTAAATGGGTATATTGGTCTCAGAAATCCACGATAAATACTGTTTTTTGGGTTTTCTATAAAGGTGCTTATTTATAGCACAAATAAATTGAAAGTAAGTTAATTTTATCTCAACCCTAATTTTTTAAAATATCAATATAGGACAATTTGTTAAAAGCTAGCATAGTTAAACTGCATTACATTAATATTCTTTCTTATTTAGAATTAAATATAATATTTAGTAGGGATTATCTTCTGAAACTGGGCAACATAGTTCAGGAGTCTCGGCTCTTGTACTATATTGACGTAGGCTCCACAAAATGTATGTGAACAAGTATCACAATAGACAATTATTTATTTATTACTAAATTTATATTATGATTGGAGAAACAATTTTTTTTTCTATGTTGTGTTAAATTGAAACATAAAATTATATAAACTACATCTTTACAACAAAAAACAAATTGTTATATATACAGTTATTTACCAGAGATCAGTTAAGTAATTACTAAGAGAAAATGATTAAAAACACTAGAACTAAGCATTCCACAAAACAACTTAAGTACCTATTTACAATATTAAGTATATTAACATAAAATTAAAGGTTATAAGTCTATTTACTAGTACATACCATCATCATGTGAGTCTGGTCTGTTTGAATTCCGTGTTGCTCGTTTGTTTGTCACCTCTCTAAGTGATAGCTCCGTTTTCTGTAAACCACAAATTGTAAAGCAATTCACACTACAGAAACTTGCACAAAAATATTAGTTATAAGTTTTTTAAAGAGATAACATGTTTTATATGAACAGGATAAATAGATAACCATGAGTGTATTTAATGTTGAAAAAAAATCTCAACTAACTGTGGGTTTTTGAGTCCAAAATCTCTGTTTAAAACACTTTGTTATCTCTGTATTCTCAAAAATGAAAGACAGGGATGACTATGTATTTTATACAGAGATTTTGTTTAGACTCCCTTACTAACTGTGCAATTTAAAAAAAAACAATGCGGCGTTTAAAATAATCATACATTATGGAGGCAATAATAAAAATTGGATGATTTACCAGCTGTCCTACAGTTTTCTCTAAATACGAGGCTTTTATTGAACCCAGAAGTATCTTGAAAGCTACTTCAACATTCCTCTGCTCCATGTATGCATGAGAGTCGATCTTATTCTTTTGATCAGCAACTGCAAGTTATTTTGCAAAACATATAAAATAATTTATAATATAAATTAAGAAACATATAAAACAACGAATAACAACGTCTAGTAAATTTTCATTACCTAGTTTATTTAATTTTTTCAATGTTTCATCACTATCTGTGACTTTGTCTACTTTTTTAACCGGCCGTTTTGTTCTTGGCATTTTATTTACAACTTATAATAATAAACTTAAAACCTTTGAAACCTTTATAATAACACTTAAGTTTTATTAAGACAATATTGTCGTGTCGTACACTTTTTGCCTTTTCTATATAGAAGAAAAACCAATATAATCCTAATTTTAAACAAAACACAAACGAAACGAACTTTTCAAACCGACATTTTTAAAATCTGTGTTCGGATACACCACAATCACGACACAGCAATAAAGCATTTATAATTTTGTTGTAGGTGATTTGATTAATGTAATTCGGCATTGTACGATATGTGTAATATATAAAATATACAATAAAGAAATTAAAAGGAAGACAATTTAAGTAAAAATATTTTTAACGTCTGACAGTTAATCTCGATCTAAACTGGGCCAATCGTTATCTGTTAAACCAGGCAGGCAATCGTTTATCTGTAGTTAAATTGTTATGATGAATGAAGAATGGCGGACGCTGTCATAGTGGGATATTTGTTCACATTTTTATTAATAAATTCTTGTTATGGTGAGTAAAAACAGAGTTTTACATATAGAAAGTTTAAGAACACTGTAATACGCGTTGTGTCCAAATTTGACGGTGTAAAGTTTACTGTAACATTGGATATGGTAATGGCATCTTTACATGTCTTCATACTCCGTATTTATTATTGTTTTTCACTGCGACGCATTATTATATTGCCTTAGTTTTTCTAACGCTGCTTAAACTTGTTAGAAAATTTATTGAACATATAACGAACAGATAGAAACGGATACAAGAATATTTAATGTGTGAAATCTGTTCTAAAATTCAGATCAAAACATTAGTGACCTCGAAACAATCCCACATAATGTATCGTTGAAATCCGTTGTATTATGGAGTATTTTTCATAGTTTTCAAGGTCTATTGTCTAAAAATACAGTTTAATATTATAGTATTTGATAATTTCAAATGATTATAAGAAACCAATTTATCTAATAATTCGCGCAAATTTTACGCGTAAATAGATGTTATTGAATTGAAACGTTAGATTTGCAGATTGCTTGAATTAAGCTTATAGCTTATGTGTTTACGATGTCAAATACCACACCACACATTCATAATTTTTGTATTTAAATCCTTAAATTTGATAAGTACTATTATATTTTTACAGCTGGCCTCCCTGGCTTGGACAACACAGAAACAGATGGCTCCCCAAGCACACAGTCAGACAATCATCTCAGAGATGACCCTTCATCCATTGATAAAATGGTTGTTCAATTATATCCAAGGTAAGTAATTAAATCTTAATTGTTATAACACACATATACAAACAATGTTGCTATCTCTCTATTTACAAAAAGATTGAAAGTGATGGCAATTGTAACCATCATCAGCTCACTATACATCCCCTCAAAGGGCCTACTTTGAGTTAGGATTGACTAGGCCATAGTCAACCACTCACCTGGTTGGTTGACGGCACACATATTCATCTCTTCACAGATATGTGCAGGTTATAAGGATTGTCTTTTGTTGCTGTTTACTTCACTAAATTAACATATTCCGTGCTGCTATTATATAATTTCTTTCTTTGTGTGAAATTGAACTTTCCAGTAGTATTTAATGTATTGTGTTGTTCCCAAATTAAATAATATTTATTTACTTGTCCTTGCTTTGCCTAGGAGAAGGAAATTTCAAAAAAGGTATGGTTATTACGTACAAATATTTTCATAGGAAACATCAATATTATAAGCTTAGCAAAGAGAATAGAATAGGTTTTTAAGCCTGAATATTCTTCTAGACATTAAATCTGTAATCTTTATCCACCCTTCTAGTTATTTGTTACTAGCTGTCGTCAGTGACCCTGTCTGCGTGGAATTAAAAGAAAACTTAATATGTAGCCTATGCATTCTTCTTGACCATGTTCTACATCTATGCCAAATTTCAGTGATAGCCATATAGCAGTTCTGGAGACACCTTCAAATAAACACATCCATCTAAGCATTTGTATTTATGGTATTATATTAATTTATTATAAATTAATTTTCAGATATAAATGCCATCAATGTGAACCCCCTGATTGTGGTCCAGAAGAGACCATGATGGGAGTCTGCAGGGATGCTCTTTATTGCTACAAGTCCTCTGTTAGAGCATCCGATGGCACTCTCCGGTATTCCAGAGGATGTTTCACGAGTGTAGACCAGGCGCAGTTTACTTGTCGGACTAGTCAGCCTGCTTTAGGGTAAGTTTCCCTATTTAACAAATAGTAACCCATTATGATGTAGATGTCTATGTATTGTTAGTGGTCACTAACCATCAGGTGACCTGCTTGTTTGTTCAGCCTTCACAATATAAAAAAAATAGTTTTGAATAGATTTTTTATTTATGTTATATTTACTAATAAGTAAATTGTTAAAAAAAATATTATGTTACATAATTTGACAGCCTTTGATGATAAATTGAAGAGAGAGGTGTGTCAGGACTGTGCAAAGTGGACTTGGTCTCTGACTACCCTTCTAGGTAATAGGCGTAAGTTATAAATTATTGATAATTTTTTACCATTTCCAGGTTAAGGAAGCGTCATGCTGGTCAGTTAAACATCAAATGCTGTCAGGATGATATGTGTAATGCAGGCAGCTTCCCCGACCTGCCTCCGGCAGTGGACACCTCAATTGAGCCAGTACCATCTAATGCATGGAAGTTGTGGCTCAGTGTTACATTATCTGTACTATTTGTTAGTGCTATTGGTGGTATAGGAATATTTTTGCTGCGGAGAAGTCATAGGTGAGTGTTTTTTTTTTTTAAATTGTAATTAATATTTAAAATTACACTTGTATAGTAATGTGAATGTTTGTGGATGACTTTAAAGTATCTTTTTTAATATTATAAGCTAAGCAAAAGAGGAAGTGATCACCTGAATTTGCCGAAATGGCAAAAAGACTACTGCCCACAGTTGCCTACCCTTAATTGTCAGAGGATATGTTCCGCTTACCCTTACCATCCATCCTTATAACCAAAGGAAGTGATAGTTCATGGAAGACTGAAATATGTATTGATTGTATATAAGAAGTAAATTAATAAATGACTCGTGCAGATGTACAGAAGAGTAAATATATATATATTTTTTATATCAAAAGGTGGCAAACGAGTGAGCTGCCACCTGAAATCGCTGAAATAGGGAAGTGACTGCTGCCCATAGACATACGCAAATGCATTGCATTGCCTACCTTTTTTCGACGGAGGAGAGGATGCACAGAAAGAAAATATCTTCCCTTTCCATACATCCTCTCATCCGGAAAGTCCACTTCCACTTCCCATCCATTCAATATAAGGAAAAGGGATCTTGGATCTATGTCGTTGATGTCTTGTGCTATCCATCAAAATCTTTAGTTTGTTCTTTGTATGGCATCTCTCTTATTCATAGTGTTTATTTTATCATAGATTGCGTGTGTCTCGAGCGGCTCTGCATAAACTAGGTCCAGATTCCAGTTACTTGTCAACCAACTTGTATGGACCTCTAGTCACCAGCACATGCTATGAAGGTAAACAGACATACATTAATATGATTGTTTCTGCGGTATTTTAAATGAATGGATGGATGTTTATTAGAAGGTATCTATGGAATAGTACAATGAATATCGATGATTGACACATAGAACATAGTCTGAAAGAACATATAGGCTATTAATCAGTTTTTTATCTTTTGTACAGGCGAAGTCACGGACAAAAACTAATTTCGTATAAATATTGCTATAAAGGTGACCGTAGTAGTTGAAAAACATAATTTGTTATATACATTGCTATTAAATACGTAGTTTGCAGATTAAATGTTAATTTTGACGGACTCAATTAAGTAATATAACCTTTTACCCTTTGATTCGATTATTGTTTCAGGTCTAGAAGGGTCTCAGAACGGTGGAGGTCTGAAAGCAGTGGCAGCAGGTGACTCAACTCTGCGGGAGTACCTGGAGAGCTCAGTGACCAGTGGCTCTGGTTCAGGTCTGCCACTAATGGTGCAGAGGACCCTGGCTAAACAGGTCACTCTGATTGATTGTGTTGGAAAGGTATGTGGTTCAAAATTTTACTGATTTTGAAGAAATATTATAGGCTCTGTATGCCCCAAGAAATTAAAAAAAATAATGCAATATAGCAAAGCTAACCTTGATCAACCTGATTAGTTGATATTGTACGAAAATTTTAGTTCTCTTTTCCTTGATTTCTCCTTCCCATGATTTTCTTAAAAGGATAGGAAGTGATTAGGTAGAGGAGGGGGACACACAGGAATGGGAATATCCTCATTCCGTGCGTGTGTCTATGGGCTTGCTCGTATGTGACTTTTTCAAATTAAAAAAGAAAGCATTGCATAGTAATTGAAATTTTGACAATCGACCATCTCTCTAGCGCGTTTTAATTGACCAACAGCGCCATCTGTTGATGATTTGCGAAAATAATTGTGGAAAGTTATAAAAACATTACCAAGTTAACATAGTCTTTTTACAATGTAGCAAATCGAACTTTTATCAAACATTGTAGAATAGAAATTTGTTTATCAATAATTTTTATTGTATATTTAGGGTCGTTACGGTGAAGTATGGCGTGGGTCGTGGTGTGCAGACAGTGTGGCTGTGAAGATCTTCTTCTCAAGAGACGAGGCGTCCTGGCGGCGGGAGACGGAGGTGTACAGCACGGTGTTGCTGCGACATGAGAACATACTGGCTTACATCGGCAGTGATATGACAAGCAGGAATAGTTGCACGCAGGTACACTACTACAGTCATTTGTGGGAGGGTATGACGTCGAAGTCGGATTGTTGGTCAACCATAATTTAGGTTAAGCTCAGAGCACATTTGTGGGGATGTATAGTGATCTAAACATAATTGATATTAGTAACTAGCTGTCGACCGCTACTTCGCCTATGTCTTTTTCTAGACTATATTCTACAGCTGTCATGTCAAATTTCATCAAGATCCGTTGAGCCGTTTCAGAGATTTTAACATTCATCCATCTATTTAAACATTTGCATTTATAGTATTAGTAAGGTTTATCTACTATAACCACTCAGCAAGACCTTAAGTGGAAATTCCAAGTACAGTCCGATGAGTGTGCCGGAGGTCTAACTTAAGACCTTGTTTTCGGAAGGGAAAATAGTCAATTTCTGTGCATCCCCTCCGTCGATTAAAAGTCTAAGAACACATAGGCGATTAATAAATAAAAATGTTGTATTGTAAGTTTTTTAACAGTATATCTTCAATGTAAATCCACGCTTATATGTTTCCAGTTATGGCTGATAACACACTTCCACCCGCTGGGGTCATTGTACGAGTATCTGAACCGCAGCGCGCTCAGCCGGCATCAGATGATGCTGATCTGTCTCTCTATAGTCAATGGTCTGCTGCATCTCCACACTGATATACATGGCACACAGGTATACCTAACGACATACAGACATACACTTTTTTTATATAATAAGTTGGCAAACGCAACGCATCTGCTATATGGAATGTCTGTGGGTAACGATCGCTACGTTGTTAGCGGTTTCGAGTGGACGATCGCTCGTTTGATATATTATAATATAAAAAAACGCCTTCGCCAAAATGGCGAAGTGACACCTACAAATAGACATTGGCAAAGCAGATGCGTTGACAATCTTTAGTAGACGGCAGAAGGGACGCGTGAAAATATATTTCCCCTTCCTATGCGTCTCTATCAAAACCATTTCCCCTTCGCATCATTTCCTTGTCAAAGTGTGAGATAAGAATGAGAAGGGAAAGAGAATTAAAATGAGACCTATAAAACGCACTTACAAAGCTGACACCTCAGAGATGTATACATTATTGTTATAGAGTGGACATTACGAGCACGTTTTACCAGTAGTACATCATTTGTGTCTTCCAGGGTAAGCCGGCGATCGCACATAGAGATATAAAGAGCAAGAACATACTGGTGAAGGTGAATGGAGAGTGCTGCATCGCTGACTTCGGGCTGGCGGTGACGCGCCGCCATGTGCAGCAGCATCAGCTCAGCGCGAGACAGGGCACCAAGAGATATATGAGTCCGGAGATGCTTGACCAGAGGTAAGGTAGAACTACATGTGTACATTTTAGCTTTTCCTCGTGACTTTAAATAAGTGGAATCAACAAAAGTATCCTATAACATGCCCTCCTTCATCAGCTACCTTCCAGTCCAAGTCCCGTCAAAATCGGTCCACCCGTTCCGGAGATTACCTATAACAAACGCAAATTTGCGGACAGACATACAGACAGACAAAAATTATTAGTATCATAGTATTTTTTAATACGTACCTCCAAAACGTCATAACCGATTTCGATAAAATTAAACACAGATGTAGAAAATAGTCTGGAAGAATACATAGGCTACTAAAAATTTTTTTAATTCCTTACGATCGAAGTCGCGGTAAGAAGCTAGTGTAACATGATAGTGTAATTATTTTCAATACTAACATTACAGTATGAACGTGCAATGTTTCGACGCGTACCGCAAATGTGACGTGTACGCGCTGGCATTGGTTGTATGGGAGGTGACGCGAGGGGCTACGGGCCGGGAGTACCGCCCTCCTTACCATGAGCTGGCACCTCAGGACCCCAGCTTTGAAGACATGAGGAAGGTCGTCTGTGTGGACGGCGCTAGACCTGAACCTCCGCAGGAGACGCATCCTGTGAGTAAACATATCACTCTCCGAGCTCAGATTTACTATACTGGCCCAGTGTGGGTTGATTTCATACATCTTTGTATTTCTTGAAAGAACATTCAATAAAATGTAGTATTAAGTAGGAATTACCTGATATTCTAACGGCGAAGGAAGGAAAGCTTGCAACCTGCACATATCTGAGAAGAAATTTAAAGATATGTGTGAAGTCAACTCGCACTGGGCCAGTGTTGACGATGGCCTAGTCACTTAAGTAGGCTCCAAGTCCACAGTGGGGATGTATAGTGAGCTGATGATGATAATCTCATATACAGTGTGTTTCAATAACATTATTTAATAGACCAACCGTTTTGTAAATTGCTATATTATTGAGATTTTTTAATTATGTAAATTTTCTTTTATTCAATATCTCTAATGGTATTTTTTCAGACAATGGTGGGATTGACGAATCTAATGCGTGAATGTTGGCATCAGAACCCTTCAGTAAGACTTCCCGCTTTAAGAATAAAGAAAACATTACTAAAGCTCGCGGCAAATGATAATTCAATACATTTGAATGAAGACAATGAAGTTTCAGTATAGTGACTTTGTGATAAGTGACAGTGATTAGTGACAATGATTAGTGACAGTGATTAGTGACAAGGTATAGTTTTGTGTTTTTGTGAACCAACCAATCATCCATATGGGTGTCTTTTCCGTTTAAACAACGCCCGCCTTTTTTTATGTAGACATATTGATTTTTTCTAGATATCTCACTATTATAGAATTTTTAATATGTAAAATTAATATGGTTAACGAGAAAAATGTCCCACTGGTTAAATGATTGGTTGAATGATCAAAACAAGGAATCCTTAGGTAAGTAGTTAATTGTTTTGTACAGTATAGAACCAGTTTAAACCAGTTTTAACTAGAATTTTCTAGATTTCAATCTATATGGAATAATTTGTTTTTTTTTTTACAAATGAACTTTTTGCACTATTATTTGCATATTTAAATTTTACATTATTAATTTTATATACAGTCATACTTATATGAGAGTTAGGTTGCCAGTCGCTAAACCTAATATCTTGATTAACCAGACATTGCCACCTTACGATATAAAAAAAAATCTATGTCCAGCTTTATCAGGATGCCTGGCAACACTAAGCAAGAGTCATTGTTCTGTTCAGATAGACAGCCCCCATAAGCGAGAAACTCATATACAAACCTTTGTAAGAGAGAAACATATTGTGGACTCTCGTTTATCCCGGTTTGACTGTATTAAGAAAATATTATTGTTTATAACTGATACATATGTTTATAACAAGTTAATTTTGCAATAATAATTTCACTAGCATTTATATATTAATAAGTTAATGCCATTATGAACGCCATATTTGAACAAATTTTATAGCATCAAGCTATAGCAATGTTTTTTTGGTATTTTTCTATGACGTTTTTTTTCAAAGGGGATGTCAATGCAATTGTCAACACAGAAGTGTCATAAAATGAATACAACCTTATTAACAGTTAATATAATAAATGCGAATGTTTAGCGTAAAGTAGATGGATGGATGTTTGTTTGAAGGTGTCTCCGGAACGGCTGTATAAATCTCGGAACACATAGAATACTAAATTTTTTTTAATTACTCTCCGACAGTATCTCGGGTGACAGTTAATTTGAAATATATTATTCATGAAGATCTATTAAGCCGTTTTGGAGATACCATCAAACATCCATCCATCCAAATACACGCATTTATAATATTAGAAAGGTTACTTAATTCGTTTTTTTTTGTTACAACATAATCTTTTAATGCAATAGCAACATTTTTAATTATGTATGACTAAATGTATGGATACAATACATAATTATAATTAAAATTTAATATTACTGTTGATCTTTAAGGATTTTTTTTTAGTGCCATGAAACACTTGTAAAATTAATGAAGAAAGTGCCGATTAGTATTTTAATATAATAATAATAGTATATAATAGTTATTGTACATACTAACATGTTATATAGAAAATATATAAATAATATTTAGTATATAATTGTGTATGTTTGATGGATGTTATGTAAAATTACATATAAGTTTAAGATTTAATTAATTTGTAGCTGCCATTTAAGCGATATGTATTCAAAAAATGTATTTACTACATTTTATATTATGTTACCGATAGTTTTCATTGACAAAAAACTTGTACAGAAACATGTTTGTATCGTTTTATTAGAACTAGTAGACCTATTGGTCGAAATTTGACCAAAATTATTGAACATTTTTTTTCTTAAGATTTGCTTTATGGACTTCTTGTCTATATTAAATGTGGCAATTATTAAGTTAATCAGTACTCAAAATTTCCTTAAAAACGGTTAATATTATTATGTAAGATTGACAGTTTTTGTAAATGTAACTGGTTAAGCAAGAGTTATTGACCAGTTCCGACTTCCATAAGAGAGAAACTTTGATAAGAGAAACTCGGGTAAGAGAAACCTCTATAAGAGAAACTCGGGTAAGAGAAACCTGTATAAGAGGGAAACTCGGGTAAGAGAAACCTGTATAAGAGGGAAACTCGGGTAAGAGAAACTTCTATAGGTGAGAAAAATATCACAGCCCCTTAAACTCTACCTTATCCAGTTGGAATTTTATTTTGTCAGTGAAAGCAGATATTTAGAAAAAAATTGTTAAGTAAGTTTTTTTTTTTCGCAGCTCTGAATCTCTTATTTTTGTCTACACTTGTTGATATGGCACGTTTTTATTTTTTTATTATTATAATAAAATTAGCTGCCATAATGCATTTATTGTGTGTATCATAAGTTGGATGACAATAAACGCGAGCCTTGGTTTATAAAAATAAATAACGAAATTTTGTTTAATTGGTTTTATTCTGTCGCATTTAATTAAGCAGTCCCATAGTGTACACTAAGGGTTGCCTTCAATTACAATTTGCTTGGAAGTTATTAATTTACAAAAGTGTTAGTTGAATGTTTCCATTTCCATGATTTTTGTGTTCATGTTATTATGTAAATATTGTAAGGAACTTGTATGTAAGTTTAACAGAGAATAAAATATTTGTCTATTATCTCTTGTTTTATTTGCTCTATTTAAGATATATACAGTTTTACATTGATCGAGAAATTGAGGAGTAAAAGATTAGCGTGGTTTGGACATGTTATGAGGAGGGATGATGATGATACAAGCAAAAAAGTAATGAGATTGAACGTGGATGGCTACAAGGGTAAAGGAAGACCAAAAAAAGTATGGAATGACTGTGTGAAAGAGGATATGCGTAAGAAGGGGGTAGACTCGGATATGACGGCTGATAGAGATGTATGGAGGAGTAGTACATGCTGTGCCGACCCTCGATAGGGATAAGGGCATGTTGATGATGACTAAAGTTTTACATTTATGTGATCCTGGTACTTTTTCTTGCTACATTAAGAAATCTACGTTACAAATTCCGTGATGTTTTTAGCAACTTTTTAACCCCCCAAACCCCTCTAGTGAGTTGAGGTTTTAAACTACCCTTCCCCCATATCCATAATCAAGTATTTTTTAAATTATTAATTAAATATTTGTCATCAGTTTATAAATACACGTGATATCTCATTTTAGACGCTACGCCCTTTTTGTGATGCTTCGTGATTTTAGGAACCTCTATATTTGGAGCCTCATGTGTTGAATGAATATGGTGATAAATAAAACTCATACATTTGTATAAAACCATTTAATTATAAATTAATATATAAAAGAATACAAGATTTTTTAAAATAACTTAATCTATGAAATGCAGCTATTGGTACGTTCCTTACTTGTCTGTATAAAATATACTGAGACATCGAATAATTAAATTTGAGATTTTTTTTTTGGATTTTTCCATTTGCGCTGTGACGAATCGTCAAATAGGTTGACGTTACCCAGTGCTGGCGAGAGATTTTTATCCAATAGAAGTCTTTTTCGTATCCTTTGGTAGATTGGACCTTATTTATGGTTTCCGAGGTCTCTTTAGAAATATAGTAACTTTAGCGAATCGCACATAGCTTCATTCGTAAGCCTCTATTGGATAAAAAATAAATAAAAAATACAAGAAGGCAGCCCCTCCGCGCCGTCGCTCTAGTCGTGGTGCTCGTCCTGCGCGAGCTCCTCCATGTCCTCCTGGTCGAACTCGGTGTCGTCTTCAGCCGTCGCCTCCTGGTACTGCTGGTACTCCGACACCAGATCGTTGACGTTGCTCTCAGCCTCGTTAAACTCCATCTCGTCCATGCCCTCACCGGTGTACCAATGCAAGAAGGCTTTACGTCTGAACATGGCGGTGAACTGTTCCGATATTCTCTTGAACAGCTCCTGGATAGCGGTCGTGTTACCGATAAATGTGGACGACATCTTCAGACCCTTGGGAGGAATATCGCACACGGCAGTCTTCACGTTGTTAGGAATCCATTCCACAAAGAAGCTGCTGTTCTTATTCTGAATGGAGAGCATCTGCTCGTCGACCTCCTTCATGGACATACGACCGCGGAAGATGGCGGCGACGGTGAGGTAGCGGCCGTGGCGCGGGTCGCAGGCCGCCATCATGTTCTTGGCGTCGAACATCTGCTGGGTGAGCTCGGGCACGGTGAGGGCGCGGTACTGCTGGCTGCCGCGGGAGGTGAGCGGCGCGAAGCCGGGCATGAAGAAGTGCAACCGTGGGAAGGGCACCATGTTGACGGCCAGCTTGCGCAGGTCGGCGTTCAGCTGACCGGGGAATCGCAGGCAGGTGGTCACGCCGGACATTGTGAGCGACACCAGGTGGTTCAGGTCGCCGTATGTCGGGTTGGAGAGCTTCAGCGTGCGGTAGCAGATGTCGTAGAGGGCCTCGTTGTCTATGCAGTACGTCTCGTCTGTGTTCTCGACGAGCTGGTGTATGGAGAGCACGGCGTTGTAGGGCTCCACCACGGTATCGGACACTTTGGGCGAGGGCACGACGGAGTACGTGTTCATGATCCTGTCGGGGTACTCCTCGCGGATCTTGGAGATGAGCAGCGTGCCCATACCGGAGCCAGTGCCGCCGCCCAGCGAGTGCGTCAGCTGGAAGCCCTGCAGACAGTCGCAGTTCTCGCACTCCTTGCGCACCACGTCGAGCACTGCGTCTACGAGTTCCGCGCCCTCTGTGTAGTGTCCCTTGGCCCAGTTGTTGCCGGCGCCTGACTGACCGAAGACGAAGTTGTCCGGCCGGAAGAGCTGGCCGTAGGCGCCGGACCGTACTGCGTCCATGGTGCCGGGCTCGAGGTCGAGTAGGATGCCTCGGGGTACGTATTTGCCCCCATTCTCCGCCGTCGCAACTGTGGACAAACAATTATCCAGTTAGCTTCAATCTCCGGTGTTACACGGCAGGCGAACTACGATAGTCTACTGATAAACGCCTTTAACCTAATTAATCTTTAGAATTGACGTTAACTATGAAGTAATCATCTATTAAACTATAGGAAGAAATGTCAACTGATAAAACTTTATTGACTGTCATTTTATCGACATCAATCTGCTACATTTCTAAGAATCAAAACGGAGCAATAATTTCACGGGGCCTTGAGGTCGACGACCTCGTTATCTTCATTGTTCTAACGAATTATAATTATACGAAAGATTCACGGAGCGTGCTTTGTAATTATAACTATCAACAACTATACTTATAAATATATATCAAGATAAATTCATATTTTATATGCATTCATTACCGATATAATTTCCATTCCTAACATATATTTAAACCGTGATTATCGTATCTTTTGTGAAATCCTCAATTTATTTCGTTGTTCTCAGTTAAGCCACACTTACTTTTCAGATTCTAAACTGCCTAGCCTACTTCTAAATCTATTTTAATATTCTTTAACCACTAATTTCCATTAACCCTTAATCCGATGATGTCCAGTGTGACGAACAACTAATTAAATAAAATCTACTGAACTAGTTTAGAGAAAATTACGTAAGTATATGACTTTACTAAAAAAACAGTTTTTATGCTCCAAAAAATTCATTAAATTAATGGTTAATCAATCCTAAGATTATTGTAGTTATTTTGTATGAAACCAATTATTCAATCCTATAAATAAAACACCTTT